AAAAAAAGAATGCTATGCTCTTGTTCATGCTTGCAGTATCATGTTTAATGGCATCAGCAGGAACCATCTATAGAACTCAGTTTTTGGCCCTGTATTCTTGGGCGTGAGATGTTTTTGAACTGGCAACCTTAGCTGCTGTGTGTGCATGTGTGTCCCATCCCTAGGGTTCCAATAAGATGAAATTTAGAAGCACCACATTTTCACAACTGCCTTTTGCTGTATGTCAAATTAGTTCCTTGGCTCTTATTAGGAGGAAATTGCTTCATTCATGATGGATCCAGGCCTGAGTTTCTCAATAAGCTCCCAGCTCCATTTCTGCAAAGTGTACCTTCTGGCAAGTGCCAAAGAGTCACCTTTTACCTTTTGTCTTTCCTCTTTGATGAAGACCTGCTTTTTTGGGTGGGGCTGTTTGAATTCCTTTGCCCTGAGAGCTTTCACAAGTTCCTTCCACTAACACCTCCACAGACTCTACTTAAAATGCCTCACTGCTGAGACTTTCCCTTCTCAGGTGATAGGAAAAGTGGTAGATCTCTGTGTCATTTTGAAATAGGTGAGCATGGGTTTCTCATGTTTTTCTATCTTTGTGGGATCCAATGATCCTTTACTGTAGGGGTAGGCAGCTGTGGAAGGCTAGAGGGCTGTATTATCCCATAGAGAACTTGGAAGTTCATGGTACCTGCTTCTGCAAAATATATTATTAATTTTTCTCCAAAACACCTTCTATGGGGAACATTTTCATAGAAATAGTGCATATTGAGTCCACTTTTAGGGTTAGGGTTAGGGAATCATGGGAACTGTATTTTATTGTGGCACCAGAGCTCTCTGACAGAGAAGGCTCAATGTCTCAGAAAAAAAACAATTCCCATGATTCCCTAGCACTAACCCTAACCCTAAACGTGGACTCAATTTGCACTATTTCTGGCAGTCTGCAACCCCCTATGTTTGGGGACCTTCCTGAGCCATTTTAGGCCCAGGTAAGGCCTTTTTTAACAATTGAAAGTGAGCAGATGCCACTTTCTGATCACTTCCCGTTTCAAAAAATGTCTCTCTTGGGCCTAAATTGTCCAAAGGGGATGGTAAAATGTGGTAGAAATGTATCCTGTGCCCACGAGAAGAATTTTAGGAGCATGTTTGTTTTTGGAAAAGTATGCAAAAATTATTTTGACCCCCACCCACCCAGGGACAGAGTGGGGAGGTATGATGTAAATGCTCTCCCAAGGGGGTTGGGGAATATTTTGGAGCAAAACAGAGGTTTTTGAAAAAATTGCAAAAAATGACCCCTGAGGGGCCACAAAAATGACTCTGGGGGCTGCATTTGCCCATCTCTGGTATACTGAGATCAGAATCAGTTGACTTTTTCAGGGTCTCCTATTTGTCAAATGCTGTTTGTCAAAGAGAAAGCAAACAATGCAAGAAACATCATTATGTTGTCTTGTTGCTCCCATTGCTTATACTTATACACCAGTTGTACTTCTATCCCACTTCTTCTAAAATTAATCACAAAGAAGGTTCTCCAGTCCTCACAACAACCTTGCAACTGTCACTGAAGAATGAGTTTCCTAGCTCAGTGAAGACTAGAAACTGGAGGTCTCCAAGTCCCAGCTGAGTAATCTATTCACTACACCACAATGACTCTTCTATTATGGCTAAAACCATGTATGTGTCATTGCTGAGATATTGTAGTTATAGAAGTCTATGGAAGAATCTTAGCTGGCACTAGGAGCAAAGTGATGACACGTTGCTCTGACCTCCCTTGAAACTGGCTGTTCAGCAGGTTCAGAGGGCAGCAAGTGTAATTTAATGTAATATGTTTTAAGATTTTATTTGTGAGCCGCCTTGGGCCCCTTCAGGGAGAAAGGTGGGATAAAAAAATCAAATAAATAAATAAAGTCACAGAGATACAGGGGTCATGGAGGCCATAGAAGGAGGCAATTACTCTGAAATGGTGGGGGTGCATGGCTGGAAATGTATAGACCCAGCCACCCATGATTTTATAGTAGCCTGCCCTGGATTCATCTGCTTATTACTGTATATACTCATGTATAAGTCTATACATTTTAGTAAAATTGACCCAAAAAACCAGGGTCGACTTTTCCATGGATCAGTCGAAGTACTGTACTTTAACTCTTATTTAAAAAAGGGACCCTCTTCTCCGAGCAGAGTGATGAAAGGCTAAAGCTTAGTCTGTATGGGGGGGGTACCTAAAAGAAGCACTGAGCCCCTCTACTCTCTTCACACCACTGCTTGTGATCTTCTGATCTTTTTGAATGCCTAGGTGGGCATTTCTGCTGAGGTGCAGTCAACGTTGTTTCAATAGCCTGCCTTTCTGCTGCTGCTGCTTTTCTGCTCTTTTCTAATGATATTAAGGATCCAGAATTTCCCTCATCTTCTTCTACCTCATTTCTTTTCTTCTGAATCACTTCCATTTCTGAATCTAGTCTAATCAAGTTTTGGTAGTGAAGGATGAAAACATGTCTAGTTAGCTGGCAGGAAAATTAAAAACTGAAGTGAAGGTGCAGGAGTCAACTGTATTAACGGAAAAGAATCTAAAGCTTTGAGACTCTTGTAACGTTTACTGACACGAGGGGAATAACCCAACTTTGTGGATTGCTTATCTGTGTCATTCAGAGAATGGCAGCAGTGGCAGCTCTTTGGGACTTTCCCTCAAAGGATTAGATTGATAGTTTGCTCTTGTTTTTTAGGTGCTCCCAGGTTGGAATTGGGCATTGAAAGATTTGAATAAGACATTTGTGTCTGTCAGCTTTTCTGGTTTAAAAAAGTAAATAATATAAAATAAAAAACAGGCAAAAAGTTAAAGTCTATAATCACTGCTAACATATAGTCACCATTTTCTTTGTTTTGCTTTTTTATCCCTTTGACATGTGTGCATTTTCTTAACCCCACCTGTGTCTGTTCACCTCCCCCTCACATTGCATAGCCACCATTTATTTTTGGGTGAGCAGCCTTTTGGGTGAGCAGTTTTGCTGGAATTTTCTAAGTTCTTTGGCATCATTTTCTTTTGCTTCATCCTTTACATCCTTTGTTATATGCCCCCAAATTTTCCCCTCAACATCCACAGGTCATATCAAAATCCATATTTTCGACTCCAAAACTTGTCCTTGACTTATACATGAGGTTGACTTATTGTTGAGTCTATACAGTATCTGTTTTTGGGATACAGGGCAGGATATAAATGTCTTAATTAATAAATGCATTTTAATAAATCAATAAATTAAATTTATACATCACATGATAAACTCCATTTGACCTTTTTAAATAGGGAAGAGAAACTACAAGATTCTGGAAAATTTCCAGTATGATTTTTAACATCTTTTAAAACCTCTGACAATAAGAGCTGTTCAACAGTGGAATATGATGCTTCAGAATATAGTGCTATTTCCTTCTTTAGAGATTTTCAAACAGAGGTTGTATGGTCATCTGTCAGGAGTGCTTTGATTGTGTATTCCTGCATGGCAGGGAGTTGGACTGGGTGACCCTTCTGGTCTCTTCCAACTCTGCTATTCTATGATTTTCTTGTGATCACATACTACTTCACACAAGTACATCCATCACTGGATGACTGTAGCTTTTGGTGCATCTTGCTTGTGTGAATGAACCATCACAGATCAAACTCCACAGATACCGCTTTTAGATCACCTCATGTCTGACTCATTGTTTTTGATTGTATCCAATTCAGAGGTCAGGAGATTAATCATAAAGTTTAGAGTAATGTTATCACCTGATTAAATCGTTTATTGACCCTCTGCCATGGTTATTGAACCCAACTATCAATTATGTTTGCATATTAAAAAAAAAAACATTCTGAAGCAATAAGCATTTTCTTGTAGTTGTTCATATGACCCAGTGTGGTGTAGTGGTTTGACCACTGGACAGTGATTCTAGAGTCCAAGGTTCAAGTCCCTGCTTGGCCACAAAAACCCACTGGGTAACCTTGGGCATGTCACATTCCCTCAGCTTCAGTGGAAAAGGAAAGGCAATTCTCCTCTGAAGAAATCTTGCCAAGCAAATCCTCATGATGGGTTTGCCTTAAGATTGCCATAAGTTGAAAACGACTTGAAGGCAACATGAAAATAATAATAATAATAATAATAATAATAATAATAATAATAATAATAATAATAATAATAATAATAATAATAAAATATATAATAAAAATAATATATTATTTATATCCCGCCCCTCTGCAGAGCAATCGGGGCGGCTTA